GGAAATCTCCGAGGAAGATGTGCAGGGGAGAGTTCAGAACAATCCATAAAATATAGTTCCACGGGTGGAACAAGGAACACCTATTACTGCATTAAGACGGTCCTTCAGAGTCTCCAAACCTACGCAGCGTTTCTCGCATTCTTTACACTATTTGTTATTGTCTGATGGTGGTGAACCAGAGAGTTCTGATGAAGCAGTGCAGGTTGGTGATTCAACCAAGTAGGAGTCAGCTATGCAGGATGAAATGGACTCACTCATGTCAAATCAGACATGGAAGCTAACTGAACTACCAAGGGAAAAAAGGTTTTATATAACAAGTGAGTTTACAGAATCAAGGAAGAATTTGATGGCAACAAGCGTTACAAAGCCAGATTGGTTATGAAGGGATTTCAACAAAAGCATGGTGTTAACTACACTGAGATTTTCTCCCCTGTTGTGAAGTTGACTACAATCAGATTGGTGCTTGGAATTATGGCTGCAGAAAATTTGCATTTAGAGCAGTAAGATGTGAATACTGCCTTTCTCCATAGTGATTTGGAAGAAGATATCTATATGAGACAACCACAGGGATTCACAGTGCCAGAAAAAGTAGGGTTTGGTATGTAAGCTGAAAAAGAGCCTGTATGGTTTAAAGCAGGCCCCTAGACAGTGGTACAAGAAGTTTGACGGATTCATGTGCAGTAATGGTTTCACGAGATGCTATGCAAATCATTGTTGTTATATTAAGAGGTTTGACAACAGCTACATTATCTTTTTATTGTATGTTGATGATATGTTAGTTGCTAGGTCAAGTCTCGAGAAGATTAAAAATCTGAAGAAACAATTGTCTGTGCATTTTGTGATGAAAGATTTGGGTGAAGCAAAACAGATTCTTGGCATGAGGATTTGCAGAGACAGAGTGGGTGGTACTCTAATGCTGTCACAAACAGAGTATGTTAAAAAGGTTCTCAGCAGATTCAGCATGCAAGATGCAAAACCAGTGAACACCCCATTAGCTAGTCACTTCAGACTAACTAAGGAATAGTCACCCAAGACAGAGGAAGAACGAGCATACATGGAAAGAGTTCCATATGCCTCAGTTATTGGCAGTATAATGTATTATACCAGACCGGACATAACACATGCAGTGGGAGTTGTGAGCAAGTACATGAGTAATCCAGGCAAGCATCATTGGGAGGCGGTAAAATAAATCCTTAGATACTTGAAGAGTATCACAGAAACATCACTATGTTTTACTGGGAAAGGAGTTGCATTGCAAGGTTATGTTGATTCAGACTTGATTGGTAATATGGATAATAAGAAGAGTACTACGGGGTATGTGTATACTTTGGGTGGTACAGCAGTGAGTTAGGTCTTTCAGTTGCAGAAAATTGTAGCTTTATCAACCGCAGAAGCTGAATATGTTGCAATTACAGAAGCTAGCAAGGAGATGATTTGGTTGCAGGGTTTTTTAGAAGAATTGGGTAAAAAACAAGAGAATAGTATTTTGTATAGTGATAGTCAGAGTACTATTCATGTTGCTAAGAATCCGGCGTTCCATTCCAGAACAAAGCATATACATTTGAGGTACCATTTCATACGCTTACACTTAGAGGATAAAGTTTTATCACTTGAGAAGATTTATAGGAGTAAAAATCCAGCAAATATGTCAACCAAGGCAGTAACAATTGAGAAACTGAAGCTTTGTTTAGCTTTAGTTGGTGTTCAAACTTGAGAACAAAGGAGTGAGTTGCTGTGGTGTTTTGCTATGTATGAAGGCATGTGGGAGTTGACAGTTTGATGTTTATCAGTCTCCAAGTAGGAGACTGATGGGTAGTGTGGAGCCTGATAGATACTGTACGCCAAGGCCCAACTTATTTGGAGTGTATTTTGGTTATTTCTGCACTTGTTATGTTGCCCTAGTGCGAGGGTATTTATTCATACTGAACTCTTTGTATCTGGAGCCGTTTTTTTATCATCATAGTGAAATCTCTGCAACCTTTTGACGTAGCCTTGAATTTTCGGTGAACCAAGTAAAATCTGTGTGTGTTCTTGTTGTGTGTGTGTTTGATCTATTTCTTGTGTTTTTCTGTTTAATTTCGCAACAAGAGTTTCGTTAAGTGGGATGATTGGAGGGGGGGAGTGGATTTGGCGGGTTGCCTCCACTGACCACGGCGACACCATCAGGAGAGAGGAAAATACAATGACGAAGAGACCACCATTGTTGAGTTCCATTGTCAACTAGAATATATTAATTAGGAGAAGAAATAAGTTTGGGGATGGTAATAGAAGGGTAGAGGACGGATGTTTTTATAGAGGGAAATGGGGAGGGAGGATTTTAACTTGAATCGTCTTAAAAAATCGTTAAAACCATCTGGCTCTTCGTTACCCATAGTTTTTCACTGTGAAAGTCGTTTCAGATCAAAGAATTCAACTCAACTAAAACACCATGCGTGATGATGCATAAAAACAAACTCCAACCTTAAATCTTTCCATTCTTTCACCTGTCAAAACTAATACGAACTTTGTACAAACATACAAAACTTTCGATATATTGTATGAAATTGGATCTTTTGTAGAATTTCAAATCAAATGCTCCAATTTCATGCAGTAAAATATAATCTAATTGAAATCATAAATACACTTATGTAAACGACATACAATTTTTATTTTAAGTCTCACTTTTAAAAGTAAGACGTGCATAAATTTTTTCATAATTTTGTACGTAGATTTTTTAATTGAATTTCAAAGTTTCTTGTTTATATCATTATTAAGAAGACGTGAAACAAACTTATCCCAACATTTTAAAGGCTTTTTCCATTCATTAATATAGCACATTCGAATTACGCAACGAAATCGAATCATCACTACACCCATTAATCTTAAGCTAAAAATACATCCACTTAATGACAATTAAGAAAATGAATTAATTCAAGAAGATAGAATAACGCAAAATATAAAAATAATAAGAGTCCAGCAGTAATTCAATCTTTTGTTGGTGTTCTATCTGTAAAACATCTTCTGTATATAAGCCTAGTTATATAGTATATATTTATTAGACATAAAATGCTAAAATGCAGTTGTCATGATTGTAGACCCTAAAATTTTAGTGGACTTTGGTTTTGACAAATGGACCCATTAAATATGGGCCTAATGTTTAATTAAGTTATTTAATTGGCCCAAATTTGGTCCACTTAAATTATTTAATTAAGCCTAGTCCAGATGGTTAAATAAAAAGAATAATTATTCCTAATAAAATATATTTGGAATAATTATCATAATATATCCGGTCCGGCCCAGTTATGATATTTTCTTTATCAGAGAAGACACGTGTCATCATCCTATGAATCAAAGAAGCCTATAAATAGAGGCCTGGAGGAAGGGAGAAGGGACATACAAAGTCAGAATTCAGAAATCTAGAATTCCTAAGAGAAATATAGAAACTCTCATCTCCAATATCCAAACCCAAAAGCGAAGAACACCAAGCACATCAAATCATGCCGTTCTTCATCAAATTCCACGGTGATTCAAGATCAAGCCTGTGCAGCCCTTGGATCCAACCAACCAACAGAAAAAAAGAGATTTAATCAGAGGATTAGTTCTTTCTTTTTGTAAAGAATATTACAGAGGATTGTACCTCAATTTCTCAAACTAATAAAATTATATTATTTGCTCCATATTTTGTTTCTATTGTAGACTTACAAAATTTGTGTGTACAAATTTCTGGGTAAACACTAAAATTTTAGTGGACTTTGGTTTTGACAAATGGACCCATTAAATATGGGCCTAATGTTTAATTAAGTTATTTAATTGGCCCAAGTTTGGTCCACTTAAATTATTTAATTAAGCCCAGTCCAGATGGTTAAATAAAAAGAATAATTATTCCTAATAAAATATATTTTGAATAATTATTTTTAAGGATAATTATCATAATATATCCGGCCCGGCCCAGTTATGATATTTTCCTTATCAGATAGGACACATGTCATCATCCTATGAATCCAAGAAACCTATAAATAGAGGCCTGGAGGAAGGGAGAAGGGACACACAAAGTCAGAATTCAGAAATCTAGAATTCCAGAGAGAAATACAGAAACTCTCATCTCCAACATACAAACCCAAAAGTGAAGAACACCAAGCACATTAAATCGTGCCGTTCTTCATCAAATTCCACGGTGATCAACAATAAGCACAGCCAAAGACGTGCCGTTCTTCATCAAATTCCACGGTGATTCAAGATCAAGCCTGTGCAGCCCTTGGATCCAACCAACCAACAAAAAAATGAGATTTAATCAGAGAATCAGTTCTTTCTTTTTGTAAAGAATATTATAGAGGATTGTACCTCAATTTCTCAAATTAATAAAATTATATTATTTGCTCCATATTTTGTTTATATTGCAGAATTACAAAATTTGTGTGTACAAATTTCTGGCACGCCCGGTGGGACATCCTTTGCCTCTCATCTCTTTCCCCTATCAGCAAGTTTCTTATCTATCTGACTCTATGTCTCCCCCTAAGACTCAGACAGATAAGAAAGCCCAAAAGAACATCGCTACCACAAAGGTCGACGCCAAAGCCACCATGAAAAGTGGCACGAAGGCCAAATCAAGTGATGGAAGTACCTTGGCGGGCCTTGTGACACCTAGCAAGTCCCAGGTGATGGCTTCATCCAAACATCAGCAAGACTTGGTGAAAACCAATCCTGCAAAGCCAGCAAATGTGAAAACCTAACATGTCAAGAACCCTGACGTTGTTCCAGAGGAGATTCCGCCACCAGATTTACCTTATTCCATCCATGATGCTCGCTTTAGTGACGGTTCACCACCAAAGCCACCACGTCAGACTTCGGAGTATTCAATCACTTCAAGAAACATTGACTCTCAAGGCCTATCATACTCAGATGTGGTCGCTGCTATGATGACTGGAGCTGCCACGGTGGAGGAACAACTAGCAACTATGTCTCGTGCCATTGAGAACCTCACAAAGACTGTTGAAGAGAAGGACTTACAAATCACTACACTGATGAACAAATTGGAAGTTCAGACCTTCGGTGAATCACCAGTACAATCTGGGCATCCTACATCTTCCACAGCACCGCCAACTGGAAATCGTGCAACTTTCTCACCACCACCGTCTGGGAATCCTACATCTTCCATAGTAATGCTGACGGAGAATCCTAATTCTACTGCACAAGGTACTCGTATGGAGGACCCCAAATAGACACCAGCAACAGAACAGGAGGTTAGTCAAAACCAGACGCCGGTAATAGAACAGACAGCTAGTCAAACCAATCATGCTTCTTCAGTCTCTTCATTATCTGTCGCACAATTGCAAGATATGACAACGAATACAATCTGACCCCAATATGGAGGCGTCTCACAGAGCACTCTCATGTACTCAAAGCCCTATACAAGGAGAATCGACAGTATGAGGATGCATGTAGGATACCAACCTCCGAAGATTCAACAATTTGACGGAAAAGGTAACCCCAAGCAACACATTGCCCATTTTGTCGAGACTTATAACAATGCCAGAACAGAGGGGGACTTACTAGTTAAACAGTTTGTCCGCTCCCTTAAAGGAAACGCGTTCGAGTGGAACACCGACCTAAAGTTAGAGTCAATTGATAGTTGGGACCAAATGGAACGAGAATTCTTGAACAGGTTTTATAGCACTCGTTGTACTGTTAGTATGATAGAGTTGACTAACACGAAGCAATGGAAGGATGAACCTGTAATCGACTACATTAATCGGTGGAGAGCACTCAGTCGTGACTGCAAGGACCGATTGTCAGAAATCTTTGCTGTGGAGATGTGTATGCAGGGAATGCATTGGGGCCTTCTTTACATTCTACAAGGTATAAAACCTCATACATTTGAAGAATTGGAAACACGTGCCCATGACATGGAGATCAGTATGAAATCCCACGAAGGCAAAAGTCCCGTGGCCATAGAACCACGCAAGGATAAGAAAAACTGGAAGAAGGGCGATAAGTCGTCAAAAACCGCTGCTAAAGATTCCATGGCTATCTCAACGACCCCAATCAAGATATCTGTTAAAGATTATAAGAAGGATGATAAAAAGCCTCGCCAGTTTCAAGAGAGGGAAAGACAGCATCCTACGCTAAAGGAGTTAGAGAAGAAGGAATACCCCTTCCCCGATTTCGATGTCCCTGGCATCTTGGAATGGTTATTCGAAAGTAAAGTTATAGAACTCCCTGAATGCAAATGCCCTCAAGAGATGGGACATGTCAATGATCCAAAATACTACAAATACCACCGTATTGTCAATCATCCAATTGAGAAGTGTTTTATCTTCAAGGATGTGGTGATGAATCTAGCAAAATAGGGAAAAATCTTGTTAGACACGGATGAAGTTGTAACTTCAAATCATACTACTGCTATTGTGACAACCTCTGTCGTGGGGAGTGCTTGTTCTCAACCTTCAACTTCTGAGATGTATTGCACAACCATCCAGTTTGGCTTATTGGAACCAATCCCCATCTCTCTTAGCAAAGGGAGTGCACTTGATGTTTCAACCTTTGGAAGGGTCTTTCCTCAGGATGATAAAAAAGGATGGACTTTGGTGTCAAGAAAGAAACCACGGAAGCAACAAGCTAACATTTTTTAGACTAGTTATTCTGACAGGGGGCAAAGGAAGAAGAAACTTCAATGTCGCCATAAGCAGTCTGCCCATAACAAAAAATGGGTCAAGAAGACACAGTCAACCAAACACGCCTCTATAAGCTAAAGGATCCAGAAGCCTATTACTTTGCAAGAGTTCTTTCCAGAAGGATATCTAGATCACGAAGCTGTGACAGCTTACATGGTTTCAATTAAAACGGGCCCTGATGGTAAGAATAACAAGGATCAAGATGAAGCTCAGACTGTGGAGAATCATGCAAAGGACGCTGCCATCATTGAAAAGTCCGATGATGATGAAGTAGTTGGAGGTACGCTGGATTCATGTTATGCACCAATTATTTTCACTGACGAAGATCTTCAGTTGGGTTCGAAGCCGCACAATTGTCCTCTTTTCATTTACAGTTACATAAAGGAAGAAAGAGTTACTCGAATTCTTGTTGATGGTGGATCAGCGGTGAATCTCATGCTAAAATTTACAATGAAAAATCTCAGCATCACAGTCGACGAGTTATCTCGTAGCCGTCTTATTATTCAAGGTTTTAACCAAGGAGGACAGAGAGCTATTGGCATGATTCGAGCAAAACTAATTATTAGCGAGCTCAAAGCTGAAACCTTATTCCATATTATTGATGCAAAGACGTCCTACAATTTGTTGTTTAGAAGGCCTTGGATACATAGTAATGGTATCATTTCATCGACTCTTCATCAGTGTTTCAAATTCCACAAGAATGGCGTACAAACAGTTGTGGCGAACCATAAACCATTCACAGAAGCAGAATCTCATTTTGCTGATGCCAAGTTCTATATTGATCATGATACACCTTCGGAAGTGCCCATCCCAAGCCATCCATCTACATAAGAGGTTCAATCTACAAAAACAAAAGAATCGTTAAGTGATCCATTAGATGTTTCAGTGGCAGACATTGTAAAGGTAGCTAAAACAAAAGGGGTCTCGATAAAAGCACATCGGACGAAACCTATTTTAAAGTATGTTCCAAAATCTTAACGACAAGAAGGGCAGTCACCTGTCATTGAGATACTTGAAATCAAGGAATTTAAATTGAAAATATCACAAACCAAAGAGAAAGAAGATATGCAAAAGCTAAAAGGAGAGTTAACTCTTCCTCTTACCAAGATTCAAAAGTCTTCGCCTTCCAAGCCTCCGTTAAAAAGGTTTATGCGGCCTTCTCAATTTCTGGTCAATCATGGATCACTTCCAAAACAAAGGACTGATGAAGGGTTCGATCCTAAAGCATACCAACTCATGGCTAAGTCGGGGTATGATTTTACAAATCCTGCAAACCTTGGAAAACTGAATTCAGAGGTCACCGGTGAGAAAATGTATGGCCTCAATGAGACACAGAAGAAGTTGAAAGATCAAGGGCATAAAATCATTCCACCCAAGTCTGGTATCGGTTTCGTACCTTCTGAGCCACTTCGAATTCACATCACAAAAAAGGATAAGAAGTCAAACACTTTTTACATTAGGTTTAAAGAAGTTGCGGATGAACAAGATCAACAGACTATAAATCAAAAATCGGTCTTCGATCATATTGGAGCTCCATATGATCGAATATCTGTATTCAACAGGTTGTCAAGCCAAGAATCAAATATTTCAAGTTCTCATGTCAACAGTTTGCCTCGTGCCTCTGTTTTTTACAGAATGAGCTTTCATGACCAAGGAAAAAAATCTCCACAACCTCAACCTCGAAAGTCAGTATTTTCTCAAATTGGTACTATCACCGCTAAAAAGTAACAAAAGTGGGAAGTCAGAGGAAACAAGCATTGACGTGGTGAACTATAGTGAAGTTCAGACCCTAGTGCCCTCGCGAATGAAACGTAAGACAGAGATAAATGTCACCAATGATGTTACATTAAAAGTTAGAAGGCGAACCATTGTATTCACTAATCAAGCAAAAGAAGTGGAAGACATTGGCGAATTATCTTGTGTTACTTCATACCATATCACTATTGAAGAGGAACCTGAAGCTGAATAACCAGACGACATCGAGAAAGCTCCAGCAACACTAGAAGACAGGGGGTAGGCTACCGTTGATCAACTTAAAGAAATCAACTTAGGAACTGATGATTAACCCAGACCAGTTTTCATTAGTGCATTCCTAAGCCCCTCAGAAGAAAATGATTATTTTTAATTGTTGTCTGAGTACAAGAATGTCTTCACTTGGACATACAAAGAGATGCCCGGTCTTGATCCTAAAATTGCAGTGCACAATCTTGCTGTCAAACATGGGACACGTCCAATTAAGCAGTCTCAAAGTTTCTTCTGTCCAGAGCTAATTCCGAGGATGGAGGAAGAACTTAACAAATTGATTAAAGTAGGGTTCATTCGTGAGGTCAAATATCCAACATGGATTTCGAGCATTGTTCCAGTGAAGAAGAAAAATGGACAGATTCGAATTTGTGTGGATTTTCATGATTTAAATAAGGCATGCCCCAAGGATGATTTTCCTCTTCCCATCCCCGAACTCACTGTAGATGCAACCACGGGGCATGAAGCTCTCTTGTTCATGGATTGTTACTCCGGGTACAATCAGATAAGAATAACTCCGAAAGATGAGGAACTAACTGCCTTTCGCACTCCTACATGCAAAGTTATGCCCTTCGGACTAAAAAATAAGGGAGCAACATACCAGCGCGCCATGTAAAGGATCTTCGACGACATACTCCACAAGATTATTGAATGTTATGTTGATGACTTGGTGGTTAAGACGAAAGAACGAAGGAATCATTTACAGGATCTACGTATAGTTTTTAATCGCCTCCGAAAATTTCAACTCAAGATGAATCCTTTTAAATGTGCATTTGGTGTGACTTCAGGGAAATTCCTGGGATACGTTGTACGTTATCGTAGTATTGAGATTGATCCTAATAAAGTGGAGGCCATTCAAAAGATACCACCACCAAAGAATTTACATGAGCTTCGAAGTTTACAAGGTCAACTTGCGTTCATTTGTAGGTTCATCTCAAATTTGGCTGGCCGTTGTCAGCCTTTTAACCGACTCATGAAGAAAGATACCCCATTTATCTGGGACTAATCTTACCAAAATGCTTTTGATAGCATCAAAAAGTACCTTATCAATTATCCGATATTGGGAGCACCTGTACCTGGAAAGCTGCTCATACTTTACATTGCTGCGCAAAAAGAATCGTTAGGTGCCTTACTTGCTCAGAATAATGAAGAACATAAAGAAAAGGCATTGTATTACTTAAGTCGCAGACTTACCCCAACGGAGCGAAATTATCCTCCAATTGAAAAAACATGCCTCGCACTTGTTTTCGCCTCTAAGAAATTGAGGCATTATTTCTTAGCTCATACGATACATCTTGTTGCAAAAGCTGATCCTCTCAACTATGTCATGTCTAAACCGGTCTTTTCCGGACGCTTGGCGAGGTGGTCAATTTTGTTCAATGAATTTGAAATTGTTTATGTTCCATAAAAAGCAGTAAAAGGACAAGTCCTGGCAGATTTCTTGGTTGACCATCCTATTCCAGCCGATTAGGAAATTTCTGAAGATTTTCTTGATGAAAAAGTCTTCCTTGTGGACATCCTCCCTCTATGGATGATGTTTTTCGATGGGGCAGCACGAGCAGACGGGGCCGAAGCAAGAGTAGTGTTTGTCTCTCCAAAAAGACATGTTATTCCGTACTCTTTTGCACTCGCTGAAAACTGCTTAAATAATGTAGCTGAATATCAAGCCTTGATTATCGGCCTTCAAATGGAAAATGAGATGAAGATCATGGATCTCGAAATATATGGAGACTCTAAGTTGGTGATTAACCAATTTCTTCAAGAATATGAGGTTAAGAAAGATAATCTAGTGCCATACCATCGTTATGCCTCTCATTTGTTGGAACGATTTGATAGCGTCATGCTAGAACACATTCCGAGGAAAGAAAATCGGATAGCTGATGCTTTGGCAAATTTAGCTACAATATTGGCGTTAACTGCTAAGGATTTAGTTGATGTTCCTGTATGTCAACGATGGGTCTTGCCACAAGTCTTGGAAGATAAATTTTAAGAAAGTAATTTGGTTTCATGTTGGACACAAGAGGAAGAAAACTGGAGACTCCCTATCATTGATTATCTGGAACATGGAAAGCTTCCCGAAGATCAATGCCACAAGACTAAAATACGAAGACGAGCACCTCGATTCATCGATTATAATGATACGTTGTATAGGCGTTCATATGAGAGCCTTTTCCTTCGCTGCCTCACAAATAATGAAGCCACCCATGCAATGAAGGAAGCACATTCTGGGATTTGTGGAGCCCATCAATCTGGACCAAAACTTCACTTTCGTGTCAAAAGAATGGGTTATTATTGGCCCACCATGGTCAAGGATTGCATGGAGTATGCGAAAAGGTGTCAAGCCTGTCAATTCTATGCTAATTTCATACATCAACTAATGGAACCATTGCACCCTACTGTGACGTCATAGCCATTTGATGCATGGGGATTAGATGTAGTTGGTCCTTTAGACAAGTCTTCAAAGGGCCATTTGTATATCTTGGCTGCCACTGATTATTTTTCCAAATGGGTGGAAGCTGCACCCTATATACATGTGAAAAAGAAAACAGTGCAAATCAAACATTATCTATCGATATGGTGTCCCTCGATACATTATCACTGATAATGGGATGAATTTCAAAAATAGTTGGGTAACTGACCTTTATGAGAAGTTTGGTTTCAAACAACGTAAGTCTTCCATATACAATGCCCCTGCCAATGGTCTCGCGGAAGCGTTCAACAAAACTCTTTATGAGTTATTGAATAAAGTAGTCAACCAGACAAAGAGAGATTGGTATGAGCGAATGGAAGAAGCATTGTGGGCATACCGCACTACGCATCATACACCTACTCAAGCAACTCCGTATTCTCTAGTCTATGGTGTAGAAGCGGTTCTTCTATTAGAACAACAGATCCTTTCGTTAAGGATTGCCATACAAGAAGGTCTTATAAGTGAAGAAAATGCCATCTTACGTCTTCAAGAACTGGAAGCATTGGATGAGAAGAGATTAGAAGCCCAACAACAGGTAGAGTGTTATCAAGTTCGACTTTCTAAAGCCTTTAATAAGAAAGTTCGACCTCGGTCATTTCAAGTTCGAGACTTAGTATTAGTTGTTCGTAGACCAATTGTCATGAATCGCAAGGGAAGTAAATTTGTATCCAAATAGGATGGACCATATGTTGTTCGTGAAGTTTATACTAACGGCGCATATCTCATTATTGATGAAGACGGAGTAAGAGTAGGGCCTGGCAAGTTCCTGAAGCGCTATTACCCATGAAGGCAATGCTCCTGATCATATGAGCTTAAACTGCACTATGCTCCTGGCCCGCATAAGCTAAAACTGTGTACGGCCTAAAAAAAAAAAAAATTCATGTCTCTTTTGAACTATGTAATGACTTGATCCCTCGTTTGAGGGTACGTAGGCAGTTTAGAATTTCATTCTAAGTTCAGTTTGATGAAAAAAATAAAGTCAATAACTCTTTGATACGAGTATAAACTGTCTAAAAGAAGAAAAAAATTGAACTACGTAATGATTTGATTCCTGTTCAGGGTACGTAGGCATCTTGGAGGCCTGTTCCAAGTTCAGTCCACCATAAAAAAATAATAATAATAATAAAAAACAAACAAACTCCTCAAAGTTGCAAAATGGCAAAGTCACTCATCATGCGATATCAAAAAGTGCTCATCGTACCTGTCAATTTGGCACGCCACCAAAGTATAGCTACAAAGGAAAATTTGATCCATCGCCAAAGTATAGCTGCAAACAATAATTTTGGTTCGTCACCAGAATTGTAGCTACAAATGAAATTTGATTCGTCGGCAAAGTGTAGTTTCAAAGAATAAGTTCAAAGATCCAGTTCATCATCAAGGTGTGGCTGGAAGAAATAAATAAATTCAATTTGCCGCCAAGGTGTCGCCGAAGAATCCAGATTTTCATCAAGGTGTCGCTGGAAAAGATAAATAAATAAAGTCAATAAATTCGATTTGCCGCCAAGGTGTCGCTAAAGAATTCGGTTCGTCATCAAGGTGTCGCTAGAATAAATAAATAAAATTGACTTTCTGCTAAGGTGTTTGCTGTTCATCACCATGGTGTTGTTGCAACAAATTTTTGACTCACCGTTGAAGTGTCGTGGAAGGAAAAAAATAATAATTTTGCTCGCCGCCGAGGTATTACTGAAAGAGAAATTTAGTTTTCCGCTGAGGTGTTATGGAAGAAAAAAATTAGGCCCACCGCCAAAGTATAGCTGCAAACAATAAAACCATGAAGAATATTAGTGGCTGGGCACCAACATTTTAGGAATGCTTCATCTTCATGGTGATCATATGAAAATAGAGATGCAAATAGATCACCATATAGTTGTTGTTTTGATAAAAAAATTTCCTTGATAAGAGAGACCACCTAGCATAGATAAATCTCGAAGAAAAATTTTGCTCGCCGATAGAACCATGAAAAGTATTAGTGGCTGGGCCTCAACATTTAAGGAATGCTTCATCTTCATGGCGATCATATGAAAATAGGGAGGCGAATAGATCACCATATAGTTGTTGTTTTGATAGAAATTTTTCCTTGATAAGGAAGACCGCCTAGCATATATAAAGCTCGAAGGGAAATGGATAGCTCAGCAATAGAACAATGAAGAGTATTAGTGGCTGGCCCCAACATTTAAGGAATACTTCATCTTAATGACGATCACAGGAAAATAGAGAGGTGAATAGAGCACCATATAGTTGTTGTTTTGAAAGAAAGTCATGGAAACGCGCCAAGACATCTTCTAACTACTCCCAATACAGTTTGGTGCATGACAATTCAGCAGAAAGTTTATAGGGAATACTCCATGATATTTCCCTCGCCTGAACAGTGACACCCAATAGTGAAAAATGGTTCATTAATCTGATCAAGACTAAAGTTGGTTAATTCGTATGTGGTCGTGCATGTCCAAAGAGATGAATAATGTTCGTTGTCAGGATTAGGTATTTGAATATATCTTCAATTGACAAAATACTCGTTGATGGAAATAGAAAAGGTCCTTTCGAATCTTGAAAAAAAAAAAAAAAAAAATCCTCCAGCAAGCGTGGAGGAGGAGGAAAAAAAAAAAAAAAAAAACAAACTGTCATACCAATTATTTGTTCGAACAGATGCCGCAATCCAACACAATCTTCAGAGGCTGCAATCTTACAAGTCCTTCAAAGTCGATTGAAATTGATGTCAAACCCTATGACTTGGGTGGTATATATAGGTAAGGGATTTGTATAAATTGGAAAGTAAAATTCCAATTCAAAGTTGGATTGAAAAAAAAAAAAAAAAAAAAAAAAAAGAAAGAAAAAAAAAAAAGGAAGGAAAGTTAGATACGTCAAGTCCCACTTGAAAAAGGAGACAAGTCCTGTCAAGCTTGGGACTCGAAGTGGGGGCAATTTGTAGACATTCAAATTTTAGTGGACTTTGGTTTTGACAAATGGACCCATTAAATATGGGCCTAATGTTTAATTAAGTTATTTAATTGGCCCAAGTTTGGTCCACTTAAATTATTTAATTAAGCCCAGTCCAGATGGTTAAATAAAAAGAATAATTATTCCTAATAAAATATATTTGGAATAATTATTTTTAAAGATAATTATTATAATATATCCGGCCCGCCCAGTTATGATATTTTCCTTATCAGATAGGACACGTATCATCATTCTATGAATCCAAGAAGCCTATAAATAGAGGCTTGGAGGAAGGGAGAAGGGACACACAAAGTTAGAATTCAGAAATCTAGTATTCCAGTGAGAAATACAGAAACTCTCATCTCCAACATCCAAACCCAAAAGCAAAGAACACCAAGCACATCAAATCGTGTCGTTCTTCATCAAATTCCACGGTGATCAACAACAAGCACAGCCAAAAACGTGCTGTTCTTCATCAAATTCCACGGTGATTCAAGATCAAACCTGTGCAGCCCTTGGATCCAACCAAACAACAGGAAAAAGGAGATTTAATCAGAGGATCAGTTCTTTCTTTTTGTAAAGAATATTACAGAGGATTGTACCTCAATTTCTCAAATTAATACAGAAACTCTCATCTCCAACATCCAAACCCAAAAGCAAAGAACACCAAGCACATCAAATCGTGTCGTTCTTCATCAAATTCCACGGTGATCAACAACAAGCACAGCCAAAAACGTGCTGTTCTTCATCAAATTCCACGGTGATTCAAGATCAAACCTGTGCAGCCCTTGGATCCAACCAAACAACAGGAAAAAGGAGATTTAATCAGAGGATCAGTTCTTTCTTTTTGTAAAGAATATTACAGAGGATTGTACCTCAATTTCTCAAATTAATAAAATTATATTATTTGCTCTATATTTTGTTTCTATTACAGACTTACAAAATTTGTGTGTACAATGATACCATACATGGCCTTAAAAACACCAAGATGGTCAAAGCTTTTTCGTGCATTATGATAATTAATTTTCTTACATACAACTCTACATGTATGCTACAACCAAATCCTATATTCATCGAAGTCTGTCACAAAGCAAAAGGCATTACGACTTTTCTCACCTCACTATTTTTCTAATTTCATATGATATTAATTAAGGAAAACAGGAAAAAAAAAAAAAAAAAAAAAAAAAAATTGTGTACTAAAATATTGAAAATATAAATTCTGGTATTGTTTTATACGAAAACTGATCTGTACTTTAGTTATACCATGTACTCATTGTCATAAATGTTGCTCAACCGACTCCCAACGTCTTTCCACCTCTATGTTTCATAACAATTTCAGTTAATGTGTCGAGTTGTTTGTTTTAGTGACAAAAATAGGATGGTTTTCTTAATTGTTTTTTGTTTCCTATCATTTGTAAGAATAGCATATTCTCATCTATATATATATATATATATGTTCCCGCATTCTCTATTCATATTCATTCTCAATGAAAATCATCTTTCTTGTAAAGTGAAAATTTGTAGTACGTACTACAATCACTGTAAGCATTTTTGATGGTTCACGTATTTTAATTAATTTTATAAACTTCAAGTTTTACAGATGATTATTTAGAATTAATAAAATTGTAACTCTGCTTTTGTTTGTATTTTAGGTCGATCTATATTAATTTTGTCTGTCTGTTTGGCCATTTCTAGTACTTTTTCATACATCATGGTAAGAATCTTCTTGTTTTCTTTTTCAATTTAAATAATTAGTTTCTTTTGTATATATAGGTAACTAAAGTTTCATAGCAATTCATACTTTTCCGATATTAGACAATTAACCCTTTTCAATTTCTCATATTTTGCAGGATATCTTTTCGTTTATAATATTTGTTCTTGGCATAGTTTCTTCCAAGATTATTTCCTCAAATGCCAATAGAAATGCAGGCACTTTTAACGTCTTAGAGTATGGAGCTATCGGAGATGGCCATAAAGATGATACTCAAGTAAAAAAAATTATTTTATTTACTTGTGAGTTTTAGTTCATTTTTTCACCTTAAGAAAACTAAATCATTTATACTCGATTTCAGGCATTTATCAAGGCATGGAATGCTGCATGCAGCACAGCAAATGGAACTCCTAAGGTGGTTGTTCCAGAAAAGAAGACATTTTTGTTAATTCCAGTCATGTTCAACGGTCCATGCAAGGCTAAGAAAATAGATTTTATGGTAAGGAATAATTAAGAAAATTATAATCACAATTTGATATTAATGAAAAACATGCATCAAAATCAAATAAGTATGATTTATTCTCGAAATTATATTATAATACAATCTTCTTCTTCTTTTCCTTTTCCCAAATACTAAGTAGATTTCGGGAAAAATTGTGGCGCCATCCTCACCTACCGTATGGAAGGGGCGAGATGCAAGTCAATGGCTAGGATTCGGTAGCATAAGTGGCCTCAACGTCTATGGTTCGGGCATTATTGATGGACAGGGCAGAGGTTGGTGGGATCAATCATGCAGATATCATCCTGAACTGGTAAATTGCTTATGATAAATATGATAAACAACTGCCACAATAATTCTATTCAGTTGCTTCGATCTAATTTGGCACATCACTGACTCTGGCTCCAATTTTGCAGCAAGGATGCACTAAACTGGCACCAACTGTGAGTATATCTTCACAATTTACTCCTTTTTTTTTTTTTTTTTTGGTATGGTGGTAGTAAGATGGCCATGGGAGCTAGTGCTGGAGATAAAGCCTTTCACATGCTATGGAAATGAAAAGATAATATATGTGACTGTACATCTTACCAAAATGAATATATATATATATATATATAAGTTAAAAAAATATATTTTTATTTAGGCGGTATTTGGAGGTAGAAATTCATCAGCCATATATAGGTGTTCCTGTATGCAATGGGAGTCATCATAAATTACAACTGATGGCATGAGACTCTCTCTCTCTTCTTTTTATTTTTAATTTTCTTAATATCATTATTGATGAAATTATATATTGTCATTTTGTATAGGCTTTAAAGTTCCTTTCAGGCAATGAAATCAGTCTCAGCAATGTTAATTTCACAAACAGCCCACAAACTCATGTACTCATAATGGGGTGCAACAAGATGAGCGTTCAAAGCGTGATGATCGAATCTCCTGGAGATAGTCCCAATACTGATGGCATTCACATCCATAACTCTCACAATATAAGTATCATCAAGTCCAAAATAGGCACCGGTAAAATTAAAGCCATATAATCTCTTTAACTCTCTCTCTCTCTCTCTCTCTCTCTCTCTCTCTCTCTCTCTCTCTCTCTCTCTCTATATATATATATATATATATATATATATATTAAGTTTTGTTTGTCCAACTGCTCTTCCTTATTTTAGACCTTTAATTTCCCATCAATTATTTATATATGATTCAAATTGACTGATTAATTAATTTTGTATTAATAGGTGATGATTGTATTTCTATTGGAGATTACATTTCTAACCTAAACATAACCAATATTGAATGCGGACCTGGACATGGAGTAAGGTAGATTACTTCTCTTTCTTTTCCAGAACCACTTAATTTACACAAACATAGTGTGTTTTATATGTTCATTCAAATGAAGCATCTTTTCCTTCCTTGCATGTAATCAGCATTGGAAGCTTAGGTTTGGGAGGCAATTTTGTACAAGTAGAGAACATTTATGTGAGTAATGTCTCCTTGAAGGGAACTACCAACGGAGCTCGGATCAAGACATATCAGGTGTGTGTGTATATATATATGAAATAATTCGAACCATATGTATATCCCAATTTACTTCCACCATCATCCTGATTATTGACTAACACACTCTTATTATCAACAGCATAGTATACATATAATATAAATATATATTATTTATCTATAAATATTTATACTTGATTATATTTTTGTGCTTGATTCATTCTGTCACTTTTTACTCACTGTTTATGCATAAATAGGTTGGAAAAGGATACGTCCGAAATGTTACATTTGAGGACATTAAATTCGATTCTGTCGATAACCCAATCATCATTGATCAAAATTACTGCTCAGCCCCTGGTGCTTGCAAAGAATTGGTAATGCCCAATAAAAGAAAATAAGAAAGGAAAATGATGGACATAAATTCATCAATTTTCATTTGCTCAATGAATGAATGAAACAAAATGTACTGATCATTCTTTTTCTTCTATTCTTTGTTCAAGCCAACTGGAGTTCACATAAGCGACGTGACCTACAAGGGCTTGTATGGAACATCGAGCACGGATATAGCTATCAATCTCAATTGTAGCCGATCAGTGGCGTGCACTGGAATATCGTTGCAATCCATAAAAATTACCTCCGCCAAATCTGGAAAGCAAGCCACTGCTAATTGTACTAATGCCCATGGCAAAGAAACAGGAGTGCTACCTGGTCCCTGCCTCTTAAATTGATGGAGTTCATATATGAACATATTTATGCAAGTTTTTAATTCCATGAAGGGCAATGAGGCACGAAGATAAGAAATCTAGTTAATTTGTTGCGTTAAACTGAACCATATAGACAAGGAGGTCCTGCTGTGTTTTGGCTGTTGTAAGGTTGAATGATATTATGCGTACATGAGCTTATGTAATGATTTATTTTATGTACCAATTAAATATTGGCTCCATTGAGTTAAGTAATATAAATAAATGAAATTTCTCTCGACCAGTCATATCACTCGATTCAGTGAATTTTAAGCGAAGGAAGAGAGTGAAGCGTGCGCCTGATGAAGCAGGGGCATGAAAGTATTATCGTAATTCAAAAGATCAGTAAAAACATAATTTTTGTTAAAATTCAGGGTCATTTATAATAAGATTGTTAGAATCGAGATTCTACATAGGATCGATGAGGAGTTCATAGAATTGGAATCGCAGGATCGGATCGAGAATAGTAAGATTCTATGAAACTATTAGAAAAGTAATTCAAATAACTTTCTAAATCAAACATTTTCAATATAAATACATAATAAGGCTAAATAACCAATTCAGACACTCCAACAAAATTAATAAACATTAAAAGTACTAAGACACATGACAAATACTAAATACCAATTTCTTGATTATAAAAATCAGTATAACAATCATGCAAAAACGTAAAGAAGAAATTAAAGTAAAGCCTAGTATAGAGAGAAAAGTACAATTTATTTGCCTAATTGTTTGAGCAATTTAGTTGTAAAGTTTACTTTTTGATTCAAAAAAAGAACAAAATTGAGATAAAAAGAACGGAAAAAAAAAAAATGAAGTCTTTTTTTTTTTTTTTGTGTGTGTGTGTCAAAATTGACAAAGAATATGAGAAAAAATAGAATTCTTTATGTTCATTGTATTGAAAAAGAAAGAAGAAATGAGAAATTAAGAAGAAGGAAACAAAAAAAATAAAGGAAAAAAAAAAAGAGAAATTAAGAAGAATAAAAAAAAATAGAGGAAATTTTGAAAAATTTTAAATGGTTTTAGTAAAATCGGTAGGATCGTAAGTGTAGGTGCAAAATTTCTCTCTATTTAAAAGAAATAAAAAGAAAAATACAACTCACTTAGAACAAGCAATTATAATACTCAGAGACAAGCATAAATTGCTCGATGCTTTTGTTGGAGGTCTAGGCCTCTATTTATATGAAACAAGGTGGTGGAATTATAGTAGGACTTGCCTTACTTGTCCTCCAATTCATTCCATATACAACATTCTTTACAATTAAAGTTCTTTCCTTATTACAATTCTTTCCATGCAAAACTTTCCTTGCACAGAACTTGCCTTCTTTGTTGAACCATTTGCCTAACAGGACTGGTCCGTCTTTAACTGAAGTTGGGCTGAATGCAACTTGGTCCAGACGACTCGGCTAATGTGCCGAAAGTTCAACACCAGTGACCCTGGGCTGTTGACGTCTTTACTGGGTTTGAACAGGGCTAGATTCTTACGGCCCATTAATAAAATAAAAACAAAGCTTCTATTTTAACCACGTGGGTGACCTTCATTAGAGGAGGATTTTTCCCTTCACAGTAAGATTCTATGAGATTCTACGATCCTACTATTGAAATATACTATATATATGTATGTATAATATATTATATATATTATGATATATATTATTTCCTTTTGTTTCCCTTCTTTCCTCCTTGATTTATTCCTTTTGTCAAATTTATTTCTTATATATTGTATATCAATACAATGTAAACATATCAAGAAATATAAGCAATAAGATAAATGTAGCTTCAGTGGCTCTTGATCAATAGATGTAGGCGTTAGTGCCGAACCATGTATATACTGTGTTCATTTTCCTATTTTACATATTATATTTCCGCATCATAAAGTTAACATGGTATCAGAGCAACAATCCTAGATCATTTTTTTTTTTTTTTTTTTTTTTCCTTTCCTTCACTAATTGTAGAGAGCAGTGAAGAAGAAGACTAGTAAAATCTGATCTGTTTCTGGTTCATATCTCTCTTTGTTTTCCTTTTTGATCAACCACGTGCTTCCAAGCGACACCCCCCCGTCACGCGCCTACACTCCTGCGAGTAGATCTCACTCGCGCTACACGTGCCCATGCGCTCCTCCTTCACCGACGGTAGACAACATTCCGAGGCGTTGTTCCGACCATTTCCCCGACGTTGTTTCGACCACTTCCCCGGCTTTGTTCCGGCCACTTCCTTAGCTTTGTTTCGACATTTCTCGACTTTGTTCCAACTATTTCTCGGCTTAGTTCCGGCCTTTTACCGGCTTTGTTCCGGATCTTTTTCATTTCTCAAATAGATCACCCGGATGTCTCCCAGTGTTGCTTCGGCCCATTTCCTCGGCGTTGTTCCGGCCTTTCAGATGCTTTTCACTCCACCACCGTTTTCAAGATTTCATTTCCAAACTCAAGTTGGTTTCGAGAAACCTATCTTGAGTTTGCGGAAGAATATTGAAATATATATTATATTCGTTTTCCTTTCCCTTCTTTCCTTATATATATATATATATATATATATATATATATATAATGATAGGAAAAAATATAAACCTACCCTACCCTCAATAAAATTGATTAGATTTCATTATCAAGGATAATGAAATCTGACGTGGTTCAACAGGTAAGAATAATCCTATTATAACTGGAGGAGGTCAAAAGGATTAAATCATATCCTAACAAATCTGGCAACAAATCTCCTCTGATTTCGCACAAGCGGAAGATAAGATCAACCATCGACATCGGCGGAACGATTTTGATTCCAATCGACAGCCATAAATAGGGCACCAAACCATTAAAGAAGGTATGACGTAAAAACTATTATTAATCCCTGCCTTCTTTTTAGACCTCCGTGACTAATTTGATCGTCGGAGAGCTCTTGACAGGCACTACACCGGTGCCATCAAGGTTTATCGATCTTCTCCTCTTTTTTTTGCAGGAAAACGATATCATATCGAACTGCGCGAATTTCAACCTCAACAGTTGGCGCCGTCTGTGGGAACGATGATTCCCTTGAATCAATTAATTACTCGTTGGGTATATACATTTGCAGTCCGGTATGGTTACCGAAGGAACACCGTCGCAGGGATCTGGTCAAAGGGTAGAGTCGGGTGAAAACCTGGACGTCCCAAACGACCAGGCACGGCTTGCAGCATTAAAACTGCAGGTTCAAACTCTGAGTCAGGGTATGAACCAGTTGATCCAGCAAAATGCAAAGCTCTTGCAACACCTTGGTCCACCGGTTCAACAAAACTTTCCAGGATAAGATCTCTCAAGTCCAAACGGAGGTAATGGGAATCTTGAAGAGAAAGATAATCATCCCCCCCAAAATGAGATTGAAGTGGAACAAAGCCAGGTGGGAACCCGACATAGAGAGGTGGTTCACCGATCTCTCCCACGGAGTTCCCGACCTCCTGAAAGCATAGACTTCTGTCTTAAGGAAAAAACAAAGAAAGTTACCTATCTCGACTTGCAGATCAAGGATCTCAAGGGGAAAATGGAAGATGTAATGCAGGCTATGAAAGGGAAAGGTCCTGCCGCCGTAGATGACCTGGTACAAATGACCAACCTGTCTTTCAGCCCCACCGTTATGAAATGTCCACTACCTAGCAAATTCAGGATGCCCTCGTTCGAAAGCTTCAATGGGACCAAAGATCCCCTCGATCACCTGGAAACTTTTCAAGCTCTTATGCATTTACACGTTGTGCCAGATGAAATCATGTGCCGAGCTTTTCCCATTACACTTAAGGGATCAGCGAGAGTTTGGTTCAACAAGTTGAAGCCAGGAACCATCAACACCTTCGAAGAATTGAGTAAGCAGTTTGTGAGCCACTTCATTGCAGGTCAGAGGCATAGGAGGCCGGCTACCTACCTGTTTACCGTGGAGCAACAAAAGGAAGAGTCTATTCCAGAATACATCACCCGATTCAACGCAGAGATGTTGCAGGTAGAAGAGGTGGACGACAAGGTAGCTTTGACCGCTTTCATAGGAGGACTCCAAACCTCCAGATTCTTGTTCTCTTTATCAAAAGAACCTCCCACCAGCATGATAGAGTTGCTGGTCAGAGCGCAAAAACACATCAACGCTGAAGACACCATGAGTGCACGGAAGGAAGGAGAGGACAAGAAGAGGCTAGCCCATCTCACCAGGGATGAAAATAATACCAAATATAAGAAATCGTTCTTCAGCTAGAGCGATAGCACATATCATGAGAAGGACTCAGATGAGTATACCGACTAGAAATTGTCTCAGGGCTGGAATTAGCCTTATCAAGTCAATCACAATAAAGACTGGGGGCATCTTAGTTAATCATTTTAAATGGAAGGTAACTCCATCACGTGTTAATTTGTTTTTAATAAGTCTTGAGGCAATGATGGTCTTTAATAAAATTCCTTTTAGTTTATACGTGCAGTATCCCCATACTATAAGGGATAGTAAATGAGTGTCCTGTATTACAAGGTGTAATACCCCTAATTTCAAAAGGATAGTCCTGATATTTAATTTATTGTTTTAATTGAATTTTTAATTCTTTAATTGTTTCTTTGACTTATTTGACTTACTTGAATTCTTTGTATTATTTGAATTTATTAATTGGGTTTTTTTTATTATTTTGCTTTAATGGTTTATTTATCTAATTATTTTTATTTGTTTAATTAGTTAATTCTTTTTATTTTATGTACATAGTTAATTCTTTAATTGTATTATTTACTTGTCTTATGTTGGTGGGTTGTTTTTGTTGGTTAATTATTGTATGGTTCATTATTTTAATTGCATGGCTTTAGTGGGCTTAAGTTAATTACTTATTTATCAAATTAGTTTTCTATCAGTTTTTAGGAGTCACGTATTTAGCCGACATAGTTTTTCACCTAGCGTTACTTGGATTAGGGTTAAGGTTGAGTCTATAAGTATGTACGTTAGGGTGGATTAGGGTTTAAAAACAAAACAAAACGTAAGTTTCTGTGGAGGCATTGAGG